TTTACTCTCTTGACTGCTTGCACAACTACTTCTGAATGCAGCATGTCCAGTTTAACATCTAGCAGCCTTACAAGCAGAGAGATGTTCATGGAAAGGCAGATTATTCCAAAGATACACTGATATATATGAGTTTAATTCCAGAAAATTGACAGAGAAGCAGCAGTCACTATGGTTTTGTTGCCAAATCTGTTTTCTGTTTGCTTCCACTGCATACATGCAGCTTATGCGCTCGATTTAGCCTCATATGCTGATAATTACAGTAACTAGCTGAAAAAAAACTATTGCTAAAAATAGAATAAAGATTTGTGAACATGTCTGGTACATGTGTATATATTAATGTTTGTCACAAAACATATTTATATTGACGTACAGCCTTTATTTATGAGACTAAAGCCTAAAAATAGTGACATGCACTTGGTTTATTTGGAATATACAGTATCTTTATCCTCCATTAGTTGAAAGGTTATAGTAAAAAAACAACCCTAAAACAAACCCGAATGATTCATAGTTTGTCAGTTTTATGCAGAGATTTGTCAACGATCAGACCGGCTTCATTTTTGTTTTCAGAGTCCACTAAAGTATCGTCACCGCAGCACACTGCATGTGTGTGAGAGAAAGAGAGACATAATTCGCTGATGAGTCTCGGTCACACGACACTAAACAACGATGTGAGATCCAGTGTGAAGAGCTTGAATTCAGCGAAGAACTCTGTGATTTATACTAGTTTATATCCAGATGAAACAGTGCTGACAAACAGCAGAAACACTGTTTAGTCTTCTGACTGTATCATTGCTCACAATCTACAAATCACCATCATTTACCATGGATTTACTGTAGTAACACTAACGGCACCATGGTATTGCTCCACTCTCACCCTAATTTTCTTGATCATAGACAGCATTTTTGTCATTTCATCTGATTATCAACATTTATGAGATTTATTGAGATTTAGTCGAAACAGTTTTGAGGTTGATTTCATTTTGTGTCACTGGAAAATCTATGACTGTATTTTGACGTTGTCTATGATGTTGTGTATTTGATAAGTAGGGATCTGTGAACATTAATATTTTCAGATTTGTGGAGTAAGCAATATTTTATTTTGAAGTGAAATGATAAAATTAGACCCTTGGAGTAATTAGACCCCCCAGAATTGGCACAGAATTTAGGTTTAAATGTAACACTTATTATAATTCAAAAGTAACTTTCAGATGATTGTCTTTTACTTGGATTCTGCTTTGTCTTTTACCAGTTATTCAACTAAATTGCCAAAACACAGTGTTAGAATGATTTAGTATTTATATAAATAGTTAATATTTAATAAATAAATAATTAATAAATATTAATACATGTTATAAGAGGTAATTTACTCGGGATGCGTTTTTTAAGAATAAATACGAGGCTATCTTACCCCCTGTAGTGCTAGATTTGTTTATTTAGTTGTCATAGCTCAAATGTCAAATTATTCTATTTTTTTCCCGTATCACATTGACTGATGCATCATCGTCATCATCCTATACATCAGGGGTGGCGAACGTCAGTCCTGGAGAGCCGCAGCCCTGCAGAGTTTTGCTTCAACCCTAATCAAACACACCGTGATTAAGCTATAGCGTTTGTGTATTTATACTACTGTTTTTCATACAAATACCTAGAACCCATACAGTTATATTTTTACCATGGTATTGAGGTGCTATATGTGTGGTTTTAACTGTGGTTATCATGATCTAAATGTTTGCTACTATGGAAGACTTGGATTAAAATTAAGACTAATTTTAATAAAACTCAAACAGTCAGATTAACTAAATTTCACCATATAAAAATAAAGTTGTTACAATTTTTACAGATGTTCCTGTTTTTGATAATGAACATAAACTTACATCTGCATCCAAACTCAAGCTACTGTCAAATGTGCATTTCTAAGAGACAAGAAAATGTAATATTATTAATATTGCAGCCTGCACTGCAAACTGTGCTGAAAATACTCATCATCAAAGTCAGGAACTCAAACCTGCTTCATGATTTGAAACAATATCACTCGTTAGAATCATGATTTATATATCACTCATTACAACATGCAGAGACTAAAAAAAACATTTTTTCTATTAAGATATTTATTTTGTTAAGGAAAATTAGTGGAAAAGTGTAAAGAATTTAGAAACGTTAAGTGTTTGTCATGTTCTGACCATAAAGAGCAGTTTAAAACCACAGTTAACAGTCTGGTTTCTACAACTTTCACTTAGGAGCAAAAATCTGCCTTTAGTCTGCATGAAATCAAAATGGACTTTATTTACTTTACTAGCGCACATTGCTAGTCTTGATGGAAACAATTAATCTGTGCATGTTAATCCGCTGAAAAAATGTGTTTGTCTTCGTAATCTTTAATCAAAATCTGAACATGGCATTCCTTCTCTGATGACATCAGTTTGACGGCTTGGGCAGAATATCCTTAAACACACCCCTCCAACCGTTAGATTGCTATGAGTGAGAGACAGAGAGGAGGAGCGCAAACATAAAACCATGCCCTCTATTCAATATTCCGTTTCAGCTGGAAATATGTCACTACACTGAAATAAAGTAGGTAGCAACTTCTGGTTCACACAGACTTTAAACTTGAAAGAAATAAAGATTTGAAATTTATTGTGATAATTATCGATATCGACTGAAATTAACATTTTTAGCATGATACATGTTTAAGCCATATTGCCCAGCCCTAATACATCTCATTAATTTAAACAATATGTTTTATTTGTGAACTGATGTTCAGCTGTTCTTTTAATAGTCAACTGTTCATTCATCAGCCATCAAAGCTCAGTAAACACTGGTCACAGACATGAAGATGTACCTTCAGTTCCACCGAGCTGATTGCTCACTTAAACCCCCACAGATCATGTTTTCAAGCCGTCTTAAGTTTGATTTTGACTTGACATAAAGTGGTGATTTCTAAATGTGTGAGCTGTTTGTTTACTTTTCTTAAGGTCTATTTTTGATGTTTTTGCCTTTATTTAAATAGGACAGTGTAGAGCTGGGAGCGAGAGAGAGAGAGAGAGAGAGCGAGAGAGAGCGAGAGAGAGCGAGGGGTCAGGTTTCAGGAAAGGTCCTGGAGCTGGGATCTGAACTCAAGAAGCCTGTAGCACAACGGCTCTATATGTTGGCGCGCTGCCCACAAGACATTCGGCACCGACGGTGTGTTTACTTTTTAACTATTAACAGCCATTATTTTTTCATTCAGACTGATTTGTGGATGCGGAATGATTTATCGTGTGAACCAGTAATAGCAGATCATAACCATTGCCTCCTGTCACGTGACTTTGCCCCATTCATTCTCAATTACCCCCCACCAAACCCAGCACACACTTTAGGGGTCTGTACAAACTCAATGGAGGCAAGAGAGACGTGGCCTCCTGCTGTAACTTTACCTGCTGCTGTCACTGTCTGACAGTGTTACTTCACAAAAACGAGCAATTTATATCTTATGATCCTTCAACAGCAACCAAGATGACATTGATTTAAATGTTGCATTTGAGCAAATAATGTAAAAATGACAGTAGAGTTCTGTAGCTATAAGACTGCTGCTCGCTGATATGAGGATGCTGATCTTCTACAGAGAAACGTTATTGGTGAGTCTTACTGAGTTTCCATCCTTGGCTATTTCACTAAATATAGTAACTAAATGTTTACGCAGACATTCAAGAAATATGCTGAAGTTGTTTGTTGTACTTATTGGCACTAAGTTTTAAGAAATTGTTGAATGAATTTTTTTTTTACACTCAAACTAGTGTTTCCTTTGAACACAGGCATGAAAGAGTTTTAGTTATTTGTTGACTTGCTGACCTACTAATGTAATGAGTTTTGAGAAATGGTTTAGATTACAGATGACATGTTTAGCAAATGTTTTTATAAATGCGTTTTACAAGCAATGTTACTTTGTATTAAATAGAACATCTACTGAATCTATAAATAATGGAGCATTTTTTAGTTTGGAGCTCCTAATCTATTCAAAGTAGATTGTCTTTTTACAAACTGCTTTAAAAAATGTGTTGAAGTCAGTTAACTACTTTAATAACTTTACAAAAAGGATAAAATGGGTGTGAGTTCGATCCCCGCAGTGACTATAAACTGGTTGTGTGTTTGGTGGACCCCAGATATACACTATAACTGAAATGACCCCACAAGTAACCACTGTGTCAGGTTTATAACTTTTGTAGTGAAATATTTGTAATCTGAAGTGAGGCACACAGGCTTTTTAGTTTTTGTCACGTTATTTTTTTTTTTAGGTCTGTAGGATCATAGGAAAGGGTGGTCCCCACTATATAGCAATTCTGACAGGTGACCCCCACGGTGCATATAAACAAGTCTGTGTGTGTGTGTGTGTGTGTGTGTGTGTGTGAGTGTGAGAGAGAGAGAGAGAGAGAGAGAGAGAGAGAGAGTGTGTGTCTATGTGTGTGTTTAGACATACATTTCTGTAGTCCTGTTGTAATCCTGGATTCTCCTCCATGATCCACACTAGAAAACACACACAGTCACATTCAGTCAGTGAACAAATTGCTGTTGCTATGCAGTTACTATACAAGGTACTCAGGTGGTTGCTAGGGAGTTGCTATGTGGTTGCTAAGGTACGTGATGTGGTTGCTTTGCGGTTGATAACATGTTCAGGGTGGTTTCTAGGGTGTTGCTATGCAGTTGCTAGGGTACTCGGGGTGATTGCTTAGGGTGGTTTCTAGGGTGTTGCTATGTAGTTGCCAGGGCACTTGGGTGGTTGCTATGCAGTTGATAACATGTTCTGGTTGGTTGCTATGTGGTTGCCAAGGTACACAACATGGTTGCTAGGGTGTTGTTGTGTAGTTGCTAGAGTACATGGGGTGGTTGCTAGTAGGGCTGTGTATCACCAGTAAAGTCATGATACGATACGTATCCCGATACGGGACTGCACTGAATTTCACCTCAGCAGAATTCAGTAAAACAGCTGTTTGAGAGTGTGTGTGTATGTGTGTGTTTAGACATACATTTCTGTAGTCCTGTTGTAATCCTGGATTCTCCTCCATGATCCACACTAGAAAACACACACAGTCACATTCAGTCAGTGAACAAATTGCTGTTGCTATGCAGTTACTATACAAGGTACTCAGGTGGTTGCTAGGGAGTTGCTATGTGGTTGCTAAGGTACGTGATGTGGTTGCTTTGCGGTTGATAACATGTTCAGGGTGGTTTCTAGGGTGTTGCTATGCAGTTGCTAGGGTACTCGGGGGGGATTGCTTGGGAGTTGCTATGTAGTTGCCAGGGCACTTGGGTGGTTGCTATGCAGTTGATAACATGTTCTGTTTGGTTGCTATGTGGTTGCCAAGGTACACAACATGGTTGCTAGGGTGTTGATGTGCAGTTGCTAGAGTACATGGGGTGGTTGCTAGTAGGGCTGTGTATCACCAGTAAAGTCATGATACGATACGTATCCCGATACGGGACTGCACTGAATTTCACCTCAGCAGAACTCAGTAAAACAGCTGTTTATTAAACACTGCATACTGTAGGACCACTGCTGACTGTAGGCGGAGCAGACAGTTGATCTCTGCATTATGAAGAGCCTCCAGAACTGTATAATATCAGTAATGGTGTAGGTTTCACGTTTCAACATTGGGCACTCTTGACCAGGTACAATATTATGATTGTTTGCATCTTGTTTTCAAGCCCATAAATAATACTGTCCTCGTTCTAATATATTTATATTGTAATGTCCTCATTCTAATATATTAATAAAATCATCTTTACATTGCTGGTAGGTGATCATTGCACAAATGTTCTAAACTAATGTGCTGTCTTCACTGCAGCTCACACACACACATTCAGTCACTCACACAGATCGAGCAACACAGAAACTTCAGAAGCGATGCAGGTGTTTTGTAGTTGGATGTAAAAGTGAACATAAGAGTCTTCATTTTCTCCTGACATCAGAGTCACTGAGGAGGCAGTGGATTAGTTTAGTTTTTGATGGCAACACCACCGAATACACAAAAAAAAAACAGAAGAGTGGGGTGGGGTGAGCAGTAGCTGTTTTTGACAAGGTAAAAAGGGTGTTGTTTTACACAACCATTGATGAATTTAACCAAAGTATGTTTCACCATTCATGTATGTAGTACTAAAGAGTCCGATCCGATGCATCCTATGTCCCCTTTAAAGTTAGGGCTTTTTTGTTCCTTAATTTACAAGTTGTTAATGTTTGCAACATAAGTTATAATTTTGAATATGTTTGTTTCTACCTTTTATGGAAGCTGTAGGGAGGAGGCTGCTATTTTTATTGTGTTTTCACTGTTTGCTCTGGTTTTGTGGCCAGTTAGGGGGTGAGTTAAAAGTACTGTTTTGTTATATTTTTTTTGTTTGTTGAAATATACCCAGAGATAATGAAAAGTTTAAACAATAAAGCCTAAAACCTCTTCCTGCTCAACATACTTGAATTTGTCCAGTGAGCAGTTTGAATCCTCCAGTTTTTCAGAGAGCAGCTTGACTCCAGAATCTCCCGGGTGATTATAGCTTAGATCCAGCTCTCTCAAGTGTGAGGGGTTTGAAGTCAGAGCTGAAGACACATAACAACATCCCTCCTCTGTCACCATACAGCCAGACAACCTACAAAAACATACAGAAACAGTCCACATCACATTAGTTTGTTTGTTCACATTATGTGTTGTATCCTTTGTAGCGAATCAGCTCATTGGGGAAATATGAATAATTAATCATAACTAGTTATAATTAATTATAAATATTTAGATCCGCTGTAAGTATTTACTTGACCTCTCAGGGTCAACTGTCTGTCAATTCTAAGTTCGGTTCGCCTGAATTAAACTTTTTCCTTCTGCAGCTTCAGAGGTTTTCAGGAAGAATGCTTTGGCTCCCCCTTTTGTGTCTGTGTACAGGGGTGAGGGAGTTTGCACTGCTGGCTGTGTGACATGCAGCAGGGTGTCTTTTACTTGAGTCCATGCGCAGTCGGTAGGACTGTTTCAATTCTTTCTGAACCATGTCAAGCTCCTCTTTAATTGCTGAGTCAGGGTTTGGACCTCAGCTCTGGCTGCATACAGATGGCCTTCTAAGGCCTTAGCTCTGGTGTCTCATTAAGTTCCACATATGCTGTTTTAAACAGTGACTTTGTGTGAAACAGTTGTCTTTCCAAGTCCTCAATTCTTTCTGAACCATGTCAAGCTCCTCTTTAATTGCTGAGTCAGGGTTTGGACCTCAGCTCTGGCTGCATGCAGATCGCCTTCTACGGTCTTAGCTCTGGTGTCTCTCTCATTACAGTCAGTTATGACATGTCCCATACAACTTCATTCACAAATCAAAACAGCACATTTTGCTTGCAAGCAATATTTAAAATGACGCCACCATTCTAAATTACTGCTAGTACTGCATAACGTAGGAAACTATTATTTTCCTGGCCATGTGAATGCTGGGATTTTTCTGGCTAGCTTGTCAAGGTCTCTGGGGGACCCCCTCCTCTCTGTGGTTGCTGGAGGTATTATGGTTCTGTCTGCTGAGTTGTTAAGCAGAAAGTGTTGGCTCCCCCCTTCGTAGCTTGGTGCATATGAGGGAGTTTGCACTGCTGAGTGAGGATGCAGGAGTAGGGTGTCTCTCCCACTGCGTTTCCTTTTGCAGCCTATAAGAGTACCTGAGTGATTCTTAGTTCAAACACACCTTTGTAAAAAGGTGCAAATGATACTTAATGTATCATTTAATAAGACGAAGTTTGATACTTGCACGTCTTGTCTGTCTGACAGAGATTCCTGATGCAATCTGAAGGCTCAAGTTGATTTTTGCTGAAGTTGGTTGATGGGAAAGAACCAGTTTGAGTCAGATTATCTTGGTGAATGGAAAAGTCAAGGCTCGAGGCCTGGCACGGAGCGTTGTGGCTCACATTTTCATCTTCTCAGAATCCAACCAAACCGCAGACTGCAGGCGGGTCACTGATGTGAGGCCTTTAAGGTCTGAGAAGATTCACGCCTCTCAAGATGGGCTTGTCCAATGAGAAAGGCTGAAATCCCAAGCGGGAGTTTGGAAATACTGGGGAGTTTTATGACCCTTTAATATATTGCCTATGTACCAACATATAATATACACTCTCGTTTAGATCATCAGAAGACGAATTCATAGATACTACACATGGTAGGATTACATATAGGTAAGATGACAGGAACGAATGGTTCCATCATAAGCCTGCATAAAACAGTATAAAATATCAAAGACAACATACACAATGACCTGAAGGATATGTGTGTTCATTCAAAGAAAGGTTTTCCTATGAATTAATTAGAGAAGAGTCCATTTTTATGGGCAATGTGTGTCTTTCCTAAGGGTAAATTAATTGAGTTGTGCTCTGCCCGCATTCCTCTGGGCAATAAAACCAGTGATATCAGCATTGGTTGCCATGGAGCCAGAGGCCTGTTCTGCCTTTCTGAGGTGTTTGATGCATTTCGGGGGAAGGGTCCATAGATCCTCATAGTTGGTTTGTTGACTGAGGGGTGTTACAGAGTATTTGTTAAATATAATAAAAAAAAATTGTGTGTCTGATTGGTCCAGATGCTACAAGTCTACAAAACAAGACCTTCTCCACTTATACAGGGAATTAGGTAAATTAAGTGGACAAAATCCATGCCTGAAGGGCAGGACATCCAAGTTATAAAACCTGGTGAATGTAGATGGGGAAGACCAGCCAGAGGCTGTACACATATATCACCAATAGATAAATCAAATGAAAAACTGTGTGTTTGATTGGTCCAGACGCTACACCTTTTTGTATTGAACTGATTATTCAATAAAAAGTATTGTGCACATTTGTTGTCATTCTGATCTTGTCAGTTGGGTCAACTGTATAATATTCACAGAGACAGACTTTATGAATATGTGCAATTAGCTGGTTTGTGTACTGAAAATCTGATTATTTTATTTTAAAGCAACCGAGCAATGCGCTGAGGAGGTAGAAGCATAGAAACATATGCTATTCACACAAGCCTCATTCATACTAATGTGCTCATACGAGGACATCCTCAGACCTCAGCATTAGATCTCAGTCATTTGACTGGTCAGGCTGGTTCAAAAGCCGACATCCTCAGACCTCAGCATCAGATCTCAGTCATTTGACTGGTCAGGCTGGTTCAAGCATCCCTTCTGGCTGCAAATGACCATATTTAATATTTATAATATTAATTTTTAATTTCTGGATAATGATTTGATGTCATTTTTGTGCTTAACTCCATTTGTGTGAGTGGCATATTTACTCAACTTCTAATAGGGAATTTTCACACCTAGTTCGTTTTAACCCTCCAAACGCTCTCAGAGCCCCCCCATTTACATTTACATTTTTTACAAAAATGTAAATGTAAAAACCGGAATTTGGGAAAAGATTAAATGGGCCCTAAGTAAGGTTCGCTTTTGGGTCCCTTTAGGCGGGGGCCGCCTAAAGGTTTTTTCCCAAATTCCGGATTTTACATTTACATTTTTCTAGACTCTGTTTTAATGGTTAAATTAATAAATATGAATAAAAAAAGTCTAATTAATTGAAATCATGAATCTTACACAATTTATTAAAAGTTTAACAAAACTTACATCTCATTTTTTCATTTTTTTTTCTCAAATTCAGTTTTATTTTTACCAAATTCTGTGTTTTCCATTAATTTTCTGGATTCCATTTGAATGGTTTCATTAAATTTTAATAATCAAAATCATCTCTAATTAACTGATTTTATAAAAAAATATTTTATTATTATTTAATTAATTAAATTATTTTTTTCAGAAAAACTGTGTTGTGTCTCTACATTTTTCTAGTAAATAAATTATTTTTGTATATGATATGATGAAGTTTTTCTTTACATTTATGTAATCTACGGCTAGCTGTGCATTAAATAATTTTAATGCATGACATGGAGGCAACAAACCACCCGACACGCAGCGGAGATCTAGCATTCTGCCCACTTTAAATCAGACACAGAGATGAAGTAGTGCTGTAAGATCACATTTATTTGAATGCATTAATTATAGCATTGTTTTGAAATAATTAATGAGAGAGAGAGAGAGAGAGAGAGATGAAAGTTGTGTGTGAATTGCACTCTGCGAACAGTGAAGCTGTGAGTTTAGTTACTTCAAAAACAGTGATTTTACCCCCTAGATGCCGAGAAATATAATGTAGCGATTCAGTATCGAAGCCATTATATTAGTACAATTTACAAGGCAGTGTTGACATCATTTGAATACTATCTTATCTGAGAAAAAAGGAAGTTGAATTAACTTTACAGATAATGTTCCCTTTTAATTTTAAATTTGACTGAAATGTGTTGTTAAAGCTCTGGATAAAGCTCTTCCTCATCCCCTTCACTGTCCACTTCATCTTCCAAACTTTCCAGTAGGTCAGACTCCAGCGTTCCACTGCTGCACAGAAAGCTGGGGTCTGAGTTCTTGTGAAGTTGTGGTGTGAACAAGAAAGTGCCTGAGATCACTTCAGTGCTGAAGAAGACCAAGAAAAGGACCGTGTTCTCTTTTGAGTCCACTATACTGTGAACACCATAAGGACTCTGTCAGTCCTGTGTTCCTGTGTCTTGTGTTTCTCTCCGCATGTGCCTTCCTTTACCCGGTTTTTCCCATGTTAATGATGTTTATTGATTCCAGGTTTGTCTCGTTTAGTTCCTGTACTTAAGCCCTGTGTTTCCTGAGTCCTGCGTCTTAAATGTCTTAATTTAGTCTTAAATGTCTACCCTGTGTGCTACATGTGTGCTCCTTGTTCCTTGAGAAATAAAGAGTATTATGCTTCTGGATTCCTTCTGTCTCCACGCTCCTTCGTCTCCTCGCTCCGACACAGCAGGCACACCGTGAAAGAAGACTGGACCGAAAACAGATAGCGGCACCCCTTCTCCTCATTTTGGTTTCCTTTTTGAAAGTGTTTTGTTTTCCGTCCCCGTGTCAAGCCCGCTGGCCGCTACTCAGTCAAGCCCGCCGGCCGTTCCTCAGTCAGGCCCACCAGCGGTTCCATTGTCAAGCCCGCCGGCCGATTCCCTCCCAAGCCCTCAGCTAAAAGCTGTCTCTCTCACCTCTGCTCTAAAAAGGAGAATGCGGAGGAAGAGACTGTGGGCTCCAGCCCCTGAGTCCGCTCCAGTGTCGGCTCCAGCCCCAGAGTCAAACCCAGAAAGAAATCCTGTTCCCAAGTCCAGCCCAGAGAGGGCTTCTGTTCCCAAGTCCAGCCCAGAGAGGGCTCCTGCTCCTAAGTTAAGCCCAGAGAGGGCTCCTGTTCCCAAGTTAAGCCCTGAGAGGGCTCCAGTTCCCACGTCCAGCCCAAGGAGGGCTCCAGTTCCCACGTTCAGCCCAAAGAGGGCTCCAGTTCCTATGTCCAGCCCAAGGAGGGCTCCAGTTCCTATGTCCAGCCCAAGGAGGGCTCCATCCATTACCCAGTTTCTCCCATGTTAATTATGTTTATTGATTCCAGGTTTGTCTCGTTTAGTCCCGTGTGCTACGTGTGTGTTCCTTGTTCCTTGAGAAATAAAGTGTATTATGCTTCTGGATTCCCTCCGTTTCCGCGCTCCTTCGTCTCCTCGCTCCGACACAGTAGGCACACCGTGACAGACACAAGTCACTTTCGGCTGGTTCCCATTCTGGTTAACTTTAAGTGAACTGGGTTTGGTTCTTTTAAAAAAATATATATCTGAAAACACCCATAGAATAATTTTCAGCACTTTAGGCAAACAATTCAGAGTGAATCTGTACATGTTTGTAAAATAAAAATATTAATTGCAAATAGTTCAAATATATTTACAGTAAAATTACAATGCTATTATTTATGGCTCTCTTAATATCTTTGCTTTCAATCTTTAAAAATAGAGCTTTTATTATTTTCATAAAGTATATAAAATATAAAAATGTTATTTTAGAAAACTATGAACAACCTTAAAAGTTCTTGATGCTTCAACAGATTTATAAACAATTCTCATTACAAATTTATCAAGATATTTGGTGCATTTTTAGTTTTCCAATCCATGTTATAAGTGACCCAAACTCACAGCACTGATAGAGATGAGTTCATGTGGAACAGCATTTACAGCAAACTGAATAACTCTGAGACTTCAGTTTCTTGTGTTTCAGTGAATACTGTGTCACACTTCACTCGTATATTGTATATGTATATAATCATACATTTCTATAATTACATCATAACCTTCGCAATCTGATGATCACACTAACCAATATCACATTCTCACAACCATGCATTGTTAGAATTTATAAATAAGTTACCAGCCATCTGGCAAGTAACACCCTTTTCATATACTTGCCAGAGCCGTGTTAAATTTGGACCCTAGCCAAGATGCTAAGGGTGTCCTGCACACGGCTGCTAGATGCTATGCTGCTAGCTTGTGCAGTGCTGTCAGAAGCTATCTTTGAAAATGCAGCCGTTTTAGTAATTGTTTCCGGCCGTTTCAATCTATGAAAAAAATGCCTGCGAATGTTGTTTTTGTCTCTAGTTCTGGAAGTCCATTGAAAGCAGAAGCAACATTTTTTTTTAACAAAATTCAGCTGCCATTTATTGTGGTAGCATTTTGTTAATTATTTTATGGAAAACCATTACCTCAGTAGCTCCAGCTGACATTTTGGACTCCTCAGTCCATCAGAAAGCAGCTTCACTCCTGAATCCTGCAGGTCATTGTTACTCAGGTCCAGCTCTCTCAGGACGGAGTTTGATGATAAAACTGATGACAAACTCTCACAAGACTGAGCAGTGAGATTACATGTGAAAAATCTGAACAAGAAGAACACAGTAACTGCATACAGAATAAATCTTATCAGTGTGTTTTTTTTAATAATTAACTTGCAAAATAATTAATCAAGTATTTGAAACTCAAACCTCAATATCTCCAGCTTAGAGTTTGGACTCTTCAGTCCATCAGAAAGAAGCTTCACTCCAGAATCCTGCAGGTCATTGTTACTCAGGTCCAGCTCTCTCAGGACAGAGATTGATGATTGTAAAACTGATGACAAACTCTCACAAGACTGAGCAGTGAGATTACAGATGGAAAATCTGAAGAAGAACACAGTAACTGCATACAACAGTGTGGTTTTTTTAATTAACTTGCAAAAGAATTAATCAAGTATTTGAAACTCAAACCTCAGTATCTCCAGCTTAGAGTTTGGACTCTTCAGACCTTCGGAAAGCAGCTTCACTCCAGAATCCTGCAGGTCATTGTTACTCAGGTCCAGCTCTCTCAGGACAGAGTTTGAGGATTGTAAAACTGATGACAAACTCTCACAAGACTGAGCAGTGAGATTACAGATGGAAAATCTGAAGAAGAAGAACACAGTAACTGCATACAACAGTGTGGTTTTTTAATAATTAACTTGCAAAAGAATTAATCAAGTATTTGAAACTCAAACCTCAGTATCTCCAGCTTAGAGTTTGGACTCTTCAGACCTTCGGAAAGCAGCTTCACTCCAGAATCCTGCAGGTCATTGTTACTCAGGTCCAGCACATTTAGATGGGAATTTGAGGATTGTAGAGCTGAAGACAAACTCTCACAGGACTGAGCAGTGAGATTACATCCACATAGCCTGTGTAAACAAAACAAACAGCTATATTAATGTGAATTTATGAGTTTATATAGTTTATAATCCGCAGTGCATGTTTGTGATAAATAAAGTATTATTAGACTTTATTGACTTTATTGATTGAACTTTACTAGGTAACAATTTATAATAATTATACAACAACAAAGCACTAATAACTCATTTTAAAACTATTGTAGTTCATTAAGTGCTTTAAACCAACATTTATTGGACATTAATTGCATTCATTTTCAGTTTTTATACTGTACAAACTGTTTATTATGTACCCTAACTCTACCTCTAATCCTAACTGATGTATTTTAACAACGTGATCTAATGAGTATTTGTATATATTTCATATTGTCAGCATTATGTCATTTTATTTTTTAAGTGGTTATGTTTAGGTTTGGGGATAGACTTTATGTATTTGTAAATATTTTAAGCAACTTTGTTTACACTATAATAAGTACAGACTAATAAAGTACTTACAAATAATTTACAAACTGTTAATTTAAGTTAATGAATAGTTTATAAATTGTAGTTTCTGTAGTGAATCAGCTCATGGGGAAATATGAATAATTAATCATAACTAGTTATAATTAATTATAAATATTTAGATCTTGTTAATCTAATGAATAACTGATTTATTAAATCAAATGAAAAATTGTGTTTTTGATTGGTCCAGACGCTACATTTCTATGTTGTTAACACAAACAAGTTATAAACAAATAGTGAGTTTTTCGATTATTATTACTGTAATTAACATTAATTGTAATTGAATTAAGTGTTAAAGACTTGCATAACGTTTTTTTCATCCTTTATTAACAACTTGTTAACTATACCTAAGTGATATATTTTACACCAATATTAAACGAGTTGTTAATGGTTCATGAAAAAAATAAGTTATTAATTAACAGTAAATAAATGCTTACGTATAAAGTGAATTGATGCACATTTAATGCTTAATCAGTGTCTTTGTAAACATTTTAGGAACATTTATTATTCATGGAATTAACGTATAATAAAGGTAGTATTAAAGCAATTAATTAATGACAATTAAGCATTTTGTATGACTTAATCTAAAGTGAGTACTATTTAACCCTAATAAAACATTTATTAATGATCCATTACTTTAAAAGTTGGACATCGCTTAACCTTGTTTTGTAAGGATCAAAGCAGACACAACACAGGTCATACCGAAATCATAACTCATTTATTTTTATTAACATGGCTTGACATGACGAAGAAAAGATGGCCTGACAGATAGAAACATCACACCACCATTGGAGTACCACACACACACACACACACACACACACACACACACACTTACTTATACAAACTACTGGGAGTATTACAAGTTTTCTATTTCATCCTACCCTGAACTGCATCCAATATCATTTCATCAATCAGATAGTATAACTCTCTCTTTCTCTCTCTCTCCATACCACTTGCTGTGGTTAACAGTAAGATGATCAGACCCTAGAACTGACAGTATGCAGTGGGCACGCCACTCGTCACTGATGACAGAGGACCCAGGACTTACATGGTGGGAGATCAAGGGGACCAAGATGTCTTTGAGACCTTTTTTCCACAAGCTCTAGATTAGGCTTCCCACTTCCATTTTCTTTATTCCTGACACTCAACATCCTAAATACCCACTTCTTTCTCTTGCATCCTCCAGTCATTCTTCCTTCACTTATTACACAACATTTCAACACATAAATAATTAACACAATAAAAGATATTGATTTAAGATTAACATTTGATAAAATCTTACCAGTTTGTTAGTTACATCTTACAATCCATTACAGTGTACAAAACAATCATCGCAAAATGGCAGCAGCTGCGTTTGTATGAAATGAGAGCGAGTCCGTGATACCAGGATGTCATAATTAAATAATTGTACACATAATATTTAATTGAGTTTTAATATTTTATTAGCTAAGCAAACGCGAAGAGAAACTGTCCCTGGCAAGAGTATAGCGCTGACTTCAGTTACCCGGATGAGCGTGTGTTATCAGCTTTTACCGGTGGTTATCGAGGAATAACATACCTCGGAATGTCGCGACTGACCAATCAGAATCAAGTATTCAACAGAGCCATGTAATAATAAACGTTAACATCTTAAATTTCAAACAGATCTTAAACATTGGCAAGATATGACACTTATAATACATTATAACTATGAGAAATATAATTCATTGTAACTGAAGTGGATGCAACATGTTCACTGTGTGTTATAAATCATCATACTCTTAAAAGCTATAACCACAAATAAGTATTATAATACATTAAAACTGTTCTTATGATTATTCATGAGATGATACAACATATTATACGTTTTTTTTATAATGCATTTTTCATTCAATATATACGAATACCCTTATAATGTATTATAAATACGGGCTTCATAGAAAGTGTTACCGCTTTTTTTTTGCAGCACCTTTTCTTTGCAAGAGCCACAACAATCAAACAAAACTAATAGTTTGCAAATAATTTGTAAATTTGTTATTACTGTATACTTCTTATAAAGTGTTACCGATGTATCTATTAAAAAGCTATAAGTAGCTTAAATAAGTACAAATGTCAGGGCAGCATCTCCAAGGCCCAAAAAATGCCTCAGGATCAACTCCTGTTCATAACTCATCTGTGCATTTGTGCTCAACACTGCAGCAAATCATTCATGAATCAAACTGATCCAGTTCAACTCACTGACTCAATGATCCGGTCACAGCGTTTGTCAAGTTATCAACACACTGAATCTGTTCTACTGAAATGAGGCAAGAACAAAGAGTAATATGATCCTCTGAGCTGAGGATTTCACTGATGAAGTGAAAATAAATCTATTGTAATCTAATTCATAAGGAAAGGTAACATTTTTTAAAACAGTTCATTGAAACAATGTTCAAAGAAGTCATGAAGAAATGTAGGTATTATTTAATTCTCATAACTGGAAAACAGCATTACAAAATCCCAGGTTTTCCAGAATGGTTGGGAAGCCTGATTGTTTTCTCATCAGGTTTTTTGAGTAGGTGTTGTCTGTCTTGTGTTCTTGGAGAAAATGCAACTGATACAATCGTACTACAGTATATTCAGCAGAAACTCATGGAGATTGACCTCTTTATCTTTAATCATGTTGATCTCTCTGAATGGAAGCAGGAACACACACTCTATATCCTGATTGGTGCTTTCTTCTGCCCAGTCCAGGATGAACTTGTGCACAGAGACAGTTTTTCCGATGCCAGCGACTCCCTTGGTCAGCACAATCTTCAGTTCAGTAAATATATCATTGCATTTGATTGGTTTATCCTGTGTTTTTTTGTTCATGAAAGCATCATCAATCTTCAGAATCTCATGTTCATGATTGACATCTTTCATCTCTCCCTCTGTGATGAACAGCTCTGTGTAAACAGTCTCGAGATCTGTGTCATTGTCTTTGTTGCCCTCAAAAATACACTTTGCTTTCTTCTTCATGTTTGTTTTGTGAATTTGCAAGAATTTCTGCAGCATTAAATCATCTGTTAAAAAGGCTGATGAAAGTGAATAAAAACATGATGAAAAAGCAAAAAACAGATTTAACTTTGTCAACATGTTATAATTAAATGACTGTTGAATATAATGCAGACCTGAGGCTTTAGTGAATTTCATTAAGCCTCATAGAATTTTTCAGATGCCTTAATTTGTAAATTCCAGAAAGCATTAATTTGGAAAATCTTTCCACGATGAATTTTAATTTATATATATATATATATATATATATATATATTAGTTGTGGCCATAATTATTGACACCCTTTGTAAATATAAACTTAAAAGCCTGTGAAAATAAATCTGCATTCCTTTTGATTTTTTATTTAAATAAAAACACTGAATGAAAAACTTTTCATTGAAGTAAAACAACTGAAAATATGAGGGGGGGATCTTGTTATGAAAAAGATGTTTTTCTCAAATACACGTTGGCCACAATAGGGTATATGTCGAACATCACCTGACCAAACCCGGAAAACAGGTCTCATCGCT